ATTCGCGAATTTCAAGTTCCAGAGCTTTACGCCCTGGGCTACTCAGAACGGTTCTTAAAGGAGCTGAGCGCGATAGCCTAGGATATGGGTGTCCATATGGCGCAGAACAGTTCTGAACTTTATGACTCAATTGAATGGAGTGAGAGTATCGCGTTCTTGAACAGTTCAGAGCTGCACAACTGCATGAATGGAGGACAGTAATAATAATGCATTTTTGTACAACAAACTTTCATTCCCTATTCTACTCCCTATGGGTATGAATTTCATAAATTCGCTATGTCCAAATAATTAACTCATGTCTTTTAAATGATCCTTTGTGCAAATTTTTATGTGTATAATCCAGAGGTCACGAAGGTTTATATAAATTTTTACTAACTTTACCCATTTGGTTGATGAATTTCAATAATCTCTTCTAATTCTTTCTGTAGAATTTCATTCTTCTAGACCAGATAGTAAGAAATTTTCATACAACAAATTGTTCGACATAATTTTACACTCTAAGAGGATGAATTTCCTAAAATCGCTTTGCGTAGCTAATTCACTAATCACTAATGCCATTTAAACGAACCTTTGTGCTAATATTTATGTATCTAAAGCTGGCGGTATTAACTGACCCCTAAAATATCTAAAAACTTGATATATAATCTAACTGACACACCACTGACAATGACAAATAAATAATTTATTTCTGGAGGTATTTTGTATAGGTGTTTTTCAGGTATATTTTAGTATTTAGTCGTTTTACACAAAGAAATAGCCATTAAACAATATAAAAATACTTCATAACAAATCTATACATACATACTTTTCATTTAAAAAAAGAATCAAGATTGGTGAAGCGGTTTCGGCGGGATGGATATAACAAAAAAAACCTTTGAGCTTTTATATGTATGGATATGGATTATGTATGTAAAAAAATCCGAAAATTTAAAAACCGTTTTTTCATCCCCCAGTATATGAATTTAGGACACACTTTGTATATCAAAAATAAAACTTTTAATTAGACCCGTCTGAAATAAATAATCTTAATAATTCTAGAAGTTATCGAAGTCAAAGTATTTCAAAGAAGTTCAATTTTGGCCCCAAAATGATTTTGAAATCTTGCTTTTTAAAACTCTTTTTCAAATTTTTCTAACCACTTCCATTGACTGAAACTAATTATGTATGTTTGGATAGAGGGTTTATGGCGCTCTTCTGTGGCGGTTTTATATTTCTTAATAATTATATATAAGGTGTTTTAGAACTCGAACCAAAGTCGAGATTTTGCAAAATCTGAAAAAAGGAAATCTCTCGAAAATAATAAATAGTGAAATGACATTTACCCTCTATGGATAGAACCCTACCTATGGTCCCCTATAAACTGTATTACTAAAATAAATAGCTTTGATATATAAAGTTTTTAATTTTCGCTTTCCTTGATATACTCCCCTGATTTTATTTTATTTTTCCAGAACACTAAATACTCTCTTTATATGCTATTTTTTATTCCTAGAAGGATGATTTGAAAAATAAATATTTCGTTCATATTATTGATGTCACTAAATAAACCCTTGTATAATATGTTATACTTCTAGATGTTTTAGTAATGCATTTTCGTACAGCAAACTTTCATTCCCAATTCTACCCTATTCCCAACTCATACCCTTAGTATGAATTTCATAAATCCCTATGTCCAAATAATTAACTCATATTTTTTAAATGATCCTTTGTGCAAATTTTTATGTATATAATCCAGATGTCACGAAGGTTTATATAATTTTTTACTAACTTTAGCCATTTGGTTGATGAATTTCAAAAATCTCTTCTTATTCTTCTTTCTGTAGAGTTTCATTCTTCTGGACCAGATGGTAAATGATTTTCATACAACAAATCGTTCGACATAATTTTACACTCTAAGAGGATGAATTTTCTAAAATCGCTTTGCATAACTAATTCACTAATCACTAATGTCCTTTAAACGAACCTTTGTGCTAATATTGATGAATCTAAAGCTGGTGGTATGAACTGACCCCTAAAATATCTTAAAACTTGATATATAATCTAACTGACACACCACTGACAATGACAAATAATTGATTTCTGGAGGTATTTTGTGTAGGTGTTTTTCAGGTATGTTTTAATATTTATTCGTTTCACATAAAGAAATACCGATTAAACGATATAATAATACTTCTTAACAAATCTAGACATATATACCTTTCATTTAAAAAAAGAATCATCAAGACTGGTGAGGCGGTTTCGGCGGGATGGATGTAACAAAAAAAACCCGTTGATCTTTTATATATGCATCCCACTTCGGTGTCACAAGCTGAATTTTTCAGGGAACGAAGTACAAGTACGTGATATGGGGACCCTTATTCCAAAAGTAGTTCAAAATTAGACCGGGAAAAACGGCACTATCATCAAAAATCGATATATTAATACCACCGTTTAGAGAAAACAAATACTTATATTTTGGACCAGTACAAAATAAAGTCTTCGTAGGGAGTAATTTTTTATAATTATTTACAAAAAAACATTTCCATTAGCGCTTATGACCGAAAAAAACTTTAAACATGAATACCTCATTTCAATCATGCGAAAATTTGGTTTAAAAATAGATTTTTTTTAATATAACTTTCATTTAACGAAAAACGAAGGCCTAAATGAAAAAAAGAAACAATTTAAAAGTTTCGCTTATGTCTTGACAAGGTAACAAAGCAAACCCCATATTTTTTGCTTTTAAACTAATAAAGATATATCAATAAACAATTAGCGATGTAATGGTTTTTGCGCGCGCTGGCCGACTGCCGCCGCTGCGTCGAGATTTCCTATACCCTTGTATATATGACGTCATGGTGTGGCAAATGTAGCATTTTAATTCGATTTGGGCTCCCTTATATAGGATAACAGAAACATTTTCAATGTTAAAATAAGATTTTTCATATCAACATACATCCGATTCTGCTTTGTTTCGTATCGACAGGGTGTTAAAGTAGTAATGTTTTTTCGATTTATTATAATTTTTTTATTAAAATGATTTAATAGTTAAACTCGGTTTTTCACGATCCTACTGATTTGGCGATGTGGATCCTTGGGATTAGAGCGATGATGACGCTGGTTCTCACGGACATAGTCATATAACTTATTTGGCGTTTTTTTACAACAGAAAAAATGTAGTAAATACTAGAGGCACTATTTTTCGAAAAAAAAATGTCTTCAGTGGAGTTGGAAAATATTTGTACTAAAATTTACTTAAGAGTGGAGGTAGTTTTCACCCTTACCGTACTTTTTCTTTTTTTTGTGAAAGTGAAATGTTAAAGCACTTACCAAAGCAGTATTAAATAAAAAATGTATTTATACTAAGTGACATTGAAAATAGAACACCCACTAAAATTTGTTTGATTTTAATAATCTTTTGTACATGAATGTAGGTTGACAAAAGGCGTAAATGATAAAATTTGGAGTGAAAATATTGGCTCTTTACCTTGTCCTTGTTAATAATGTGTTGGACCACCTCGATGTTCTATACATTCGTTGAGCCGTCTGGGCATGGAACTAATCAGATGATTTGTCTTAACTAAGTATCTAACTGTATCTCATGCCGAAGAGCTTCTAGTGTCTGAGGAGGATGTGGTAAGTTTGTCAGTCTCCTACCCATGATATCCCATACATGTTCAATTGGTGAGAGATCTGGAGATCTTGGTGGCCAAAGTAAGAGATTAACTTGGGCATTATGTAAGCGGTTCACAGTTAATCTAGCAACATGGGGACGGGCATTATCTTGTTGAAATAGAGGATCGTGAAGCGTTCGTAAGTATGGTAAGAGAAGAGCTTCCACAATTTCCTCAATATAGCGTTGGGCTGTCATATTACCTCGAACAAATACTAGAGGTGACCTGCTACCATATGCGATTGCTCCCCAAACCATAACTCCTACAACTTGGTTTACGTGCCTCTCCATGAGAAACTGTGGATTCCGCCATTCTCCACGGTACCTATTCACTCACGCCCGACTGTCGTGCATTCCGAAACAGAATCGCGACTCATCACTAAAAACGATAGATTCCATTCTGCGCCCCATTCTTGTCAGGGTCTGCACCACTCTAGACGTTGTCGTCGATGTTCAGAGGTCAATGGTAAAATCCAATGAGGCCGAAAAGAAAACAGCCCAAACGACGGTATTCGTCGGTAAACAGTTCGCATCGTGATGAGTCTTCCGTGTTCCGTAAACCATTGGATAGCAATTGCTCGGAAAGTGGCCGAACGGTCTCTGACAGCTAATTGCGTTAAACGGCGATCTTGACTCTCAGTGGTTAATCTCAGACGCCCTGTACCTTTGGCACGATGTTCACGATGCTGTTGAAAGTAAGCTCTACAACAATTGACAACAGTGCAAACACTTCTATGGATCCTATCAGCAATCTCTCGAAATTATTATCCTGCCTCCCGCAAACCTGCAATCCGACCCCTATAAAAATCACTGAGTTGTCTAAAATTGGCACGTCTACGTATTTAAACTCAGAAAAACACCTGAAACTACTCTGCAGCAGAATAAGTAACAAACTGTGCAAAAGCCGGGTGGATGACTGGAATTTTAACAAAAACATGTATAGCATGAAAACTAGTGTGTTGACGGCGTTCAAATTATAATCATTTCTTTTCCATACAATAATAAACATGCTTACAAACATTAATTAAAATTAAATAATATTTAGTGGGTGTTCTATTTTCAATGTCACTTAGTATATTTTTTTAAAGTTTGATGCCCTCTAGAGGCCAAACGAAGCACTTTGGTATAGAGGTAAATTTTGACCAGTGAACTTATTTTGATTTCAAAAATACGTAGTATTTCTATGTTCACAGAATATTAGGACATCCTTATTACATATTTTATGCTGTGTCGATTTCCCTTGTTGAAAACTAAAATTAGATAATTAGGAATTATTCAATTTTAGTTTCAATTAAATTAGTTTAACTTATTCAATTTAATTAGGGAAATAATACGTTTTACATTTTAGGTATGCCGATTCTGAGACTATGGAGGATCTTTTAAAACATGGTGCATCATTATGCTCCACTAATCATATCGGGAAGATGCTAATTGAATATATAAAACCTAGTATTTTAGAAAAACATTTAAATAATTGTGTTGAAATCAAATCGCATGATGAAAATTTGCGGTTTCTGCAAATTGATTATCGATCTCTCGTTTCACCAATAAAAATCAACTCCACTACCGAAAATGAGGATGTGAATCAATAACAGAAAAATTATATAAAATTGTAGTATATGGTTAAGACTAAAGTTTGTAACCTTATACTATGATTAAATAAACAAAAGAAACTAAATTTTTCAAATTTTAGGTATATGAGTACTTCCACCAGATTGAAACACTTGATAAGACATCCAGTGATAGCTACCTTTTTACTTCGGAAGTGGGAAAACTGGAACAACATATTTCTGATGAACATAACCGTTTATTCCATGTTCTTTGTAGCTATAATTCTGTATTTTTGTTTTAAAGATTACAAACCGATGCGGGTTATAACTTTATTTTTTAGTCTAGCAGTATTGCTCCTTAGAGAAGGATATGAATATATAGCAACTAAAACGTCTTATTTACAGCGGTACGATAATTTGCTTGAACTGTTAATTTCATTTATTTTGGCCGTTATGGTGGTTCTTGAATTCATATATGACAGTAAAATACAATTTTCTTCTATAGTGATTCTTTTAGCAGCTTTCGAATTAATGATGGTTTTTAGTATAGCACCAAACTGTTCTACGAATATGGCGATATTTAGTACAGTTTTAGTCAATTACTTTATATTTTTGTTATGGTATTCGGTTTTATTAATCGCTTTTACAATTAGCCTTTATTTTTTATTTGAGTATCAAAATACATCGTTTGTCAATTTCACCGAATCACTTTTTAAAATTATAATTATGATGACTGGAGAGTTAGATGCTGGAAATATAAATTTCGACATGCATCCACTAATAGGTAAAATCATTTTTGTTTTATTTATTTTCATGATACCCATTGTTCTTTTAAACCTGCTCAATGGTTTGGCGATTAGCGATATACAAATTATTAAACAAAATGCAGAATTAACTGGTTATGCAACCTTGGCATATAACATACAAATTGCGGAAACTTTGATTTACAAATATAAAATTAATTGGATTAAAAAAGTATTTTTCAAGGAAGTAAAACCTATCTTTGACAAAGAAAATAAGCCTTACCAATTAATTGTAAACGAAAATAAGGGTTCAAATGATAATCAATCTAAACATTACCGATGGAAATTTTGGAAAGAACGAGTTGGAATAGAAATCATGGAACTATTTCAGATCGAGAATGAAAAGCAAGGGTTGAATATTGATATCATCGATATTAGAAAAACACTGTCTGAGATTTTGAGTGTTTTAAAACCCCCGTTTCAAAACTCTTGTAATTTGGGTGAAAGGCCAACTCTGCAGGACGGGTCGCAAGGCCCGGTCCACGAACCGGATCCGCAGGCCGGGCCTTCTGGTGTATGTGACTAATAATATGCTTCAATGCTTCAAAATAAAGGAATACGAAAATAGAGAAAACAATAGTATTACATGCATTGAGATTTAATTTAACATAATTAGTAATGTTATATTTTATACAAAAATAATCAGATATCCTTATATGTCCATTATATCACCCCTTCATGTGAGTTAACTATAATTTACCAATTTAGAAATTCAAATATAAATGAAATGACGTTCGCAGGTTTAGAGACCAGGAAATAAAAATCTCTTTATTTAAGAAATTGCCGACGTTTCTAGGTATATATTTTTGTCAATGCTATATTTGTCTTTACCTTGGCAATATATGTCTTTGTCAAGGTTATTTGGACTAAACGTTTTTTTTTTCACGCGTAAACATAAGTAGTGACAAATCCTACTTATATTTACGCGTGACACATTTCAGCTGAAAATAGTCTTGATAGAATTGTGAATATACATCCAAAGGTCAACAAAGGGTTTTCCATTTCCTGGTCCTAAACCTGTTAACGCCATTTAATACACAACAGAGGGACGCAAATCTATCATGTTATTTAAATATAGTGATAGTCTTTAGTGACAGTAAATCCCGTTACTGGAGTGCCCAGAGACTTTTACCTCGGAATTAAATTACTGTGAATGTATTAATGTGAAACCTTCTGTATTGTGTTTTATAGGTAAAATACCAAAATATTTACCAATTTTTTTTTGTTGCTTTTATTTTTTTGTTCTAGTAATTTTAATAAATTCTTAGTTATTTCCTTCTTAATTTTTGGATTTTTTAATTTTTTTTAAGTAAATTTTTGAAATAAATAAACCTAATGCATAAGCTATACCTATTCTGCTTATATTCTAATCATTGAAATTTTGATTGAAATCGAATTATACAGGGTGGCGCGTTATATACTACGCTGTTTTTGTAAGGAGAACAAAAGTTTGTTGTATTGAAGTGATATTTTGTGAGCTTATGTAAGCCAATTTAAAGCATTTTCTAAAATTATATATAGTTCTACAGGGTGTCCCCAAAAAAGTTACACATCAAAGTTGTGTTTTTTTGTAATGGAACACCCTATATATTAACTCATTTTCGGATTCTAGTAAAAAAATAGTTTCGGATTCTAGTAAAAATAGCGAGTTTCATTAGAAAAGTATATGACTAAAATGTATAGTTTTTGAAATACATTCACCGGCACGATAAATGGGCACCTTAAAACTTTGATGTATTTTAAAGTTTAATATATTTTGTTCTAGTGGGCCGATTTTGATGATTTTTTAAGCATTATGTAGCCAAATTATTTGACTTTTTAGTATCTCTTTCTAAATTAAAAACGAAACTGCCCATCTGTTAATTATACAAGGGAAAACGAAATGTTGATATTTTGGTGAAAGTTTGAAACACCCTATGTTTATATGTTAAAACACAAAGAAATTTAAGTCATTTTATCATCTAGATACATCCTTTCTCGATAGTTTGTTTTTTGGTTCACCTCATTAGCTTTATTTTTGTTGGAGATATTCGCTTTTGAAGAAGACACTAACATGTTTTCGTAATTTTTACATTAAGGCCATGCCTTTGCTTTTGGTCCTAGTCAACAATTCTAGTAAGTTCTGGTCCCGAAGTAGGCCTTCTTGACATAAGATTTGCTTCATTTATTCTTCTTCTTATAGTCCGATAGTTAATATGTACGTTCCTTAGGTGCAATTCATTATAAATTTGAAAAGCTAGCAAACGGCGGTTTCTTAGCGATAAACTTACAATAAGTTAATCCTCTCAATTAGAAGTTCACATATGAAGGTTCCTGGACATCTAGATTGCCGTCCTAATGGACATGATCATAATAATTGAAAAACCACTCAGTATACTCTATGGTATTAAGGTATTTTTGGTAGCGGAATTTTACACCAAATTCACTGAACTAAACAAATATAAAGCATTTCATTTGAAAAACCAAAACTTAAGCGATATTTGACTCACCCTGTATATTTATAAAGATATTTTTAAAATATGAACTACCATTAAATGAATATTTTGTAAAAGGTTTGAAGTGAAAATCTCAAATAGGAATCCTGATACAGAGGTTTTTCGGAACACGGTGCCATCTTGTATGTATGCATTTGTATATGTGTGTTTATTTAAATACTAAAGTGAAAGCAACGAATTTAAATGGGTAAAGTTTGTAATATATCTTATTAATAATACAATGCAAAAAGTTTTATAAAAATTCGTTCACAGTAAATGAATTCCGATGTTTGTATCTCATAAGGGCTTAAAGCACTCCACTACGTTGTTAAGCCATGATTTGTTTTAATTCTATATTTTGAGTCACGGTATAAGGATTTAACAGCTTTATAGCAGCATCTCCCAAAATCTCCCCAAAGGTATATTCTCATAAGCTTTCTTCATCAACAAATAAAATATGAACTTCCGAATGCTGTTTTCTTTTCTAAGATTTGTGTTAGTGTGAGGAGATGGTCTACTGAGGATCATCCTGCTCTAAACCCTGCTTGTTCTTCAGCCTCCATATAAGCATATTCTTTTTCAAATTCTATTTTTCAGAACCTTTCCATATACTCTGTTAACGGTACCTGTAACCGCTATTCCTCGATAATTATCGCAGTTACTTTTATCTACATTTTTATGTATTATTGATAGGTATGACAGCTGCGATTCTTCTGTTACTTCCGAAGTGTTGAGACATTTTTGAAATAGGTTTTTCAGCATATAATATAATTTTTCAGATCCGTATTTAATTAATTCTCCAGGTTTATTGCCTGGCCCTGGGGATCTGCCATTCTTTAACAATTTGCTAGCGTTTTTAATCTCAGCTAATGACAGTCTTATGGGAGAACCTTGTATAATAAATTATATTTGACTCATTGTTTTGGGTATCTATGAAAATATTGATTCCATTTTTCAGATGGTATCGGTGAAAAGATTTCCTTTTTTCGTTCCGTTCATAAGTTCTTAAAGAACCTCCAGCTTTCCGTCCTCTTCCTTCCTCCTATGTATGTGTTGAGTCTTGAGCACGTTTTTCTCATTTGTCGTTTTTGAAAAAACATCGCAAAAATCGCAAAAAGAATCGCAAGCAAGACTGCTTGCTATTCTTTGTACTTCGGTCTATCATTTATATTTTCTGAATTTATGATTATTTTAAATATATTATGAGAAATAAAACACGGTACTGGGTTATATATTAATATTTGCTAATTAATTACATTTTTGTTTTGTTTTGGTTTGGTTTGGTTTTTATATTATTTAATTTAAATCGCACAAAATTTCAGATATAGATATTTTGAAATAATAAAAAGTCTAAATTTAGTGAAGCCAAAGAATATTCTTCTTTTTTAATTATTCCATTAAAAAAGAAGAATATTCCAAATCATAACATAACAGCGCTTTCAGATGGAGCGGAGCGTCCTCGCGGACCGTCCGCAAGTTCCATGAGTTTAAATGAACAATTTCACATGGGTCGCGTATGCTTCGTCCGGATGATTTCGTCTGACGGCTATCTTGAAAAAAACAAGCAGCACAAAAACAGAGCGGACGGTCCGCGCAGACGCTCCGCTCTATCTGAAAGCGCTGTAATGGTGCGTCCAGACCTGAGGAGTCGAGTGCGAGACGAGAGCAAGACAAGAGCGAGACAAGAGAGAGGCTAGAGCAAGACGAGTGCGAGACGAGGGCAAGAAATGTTCTATCCATTTTTTGACGCAAGCCTGCCGCGAGACAAGCGAGTTGAATCACAGTGAAAGATGACCGATTTGTGTAAATATGTCCGATGAAAAACCTGCAGCAAATAATAACGCATAAGTAATAAATTTTTGTATCTTTAACATGATATTTGGTTTGTCGTATTTTATTCATCGTCCATTTTTTCCCCTTTTACCCTTCATTTGTTTCGAGACACGACGTCTTTTACAAAATTCGTTTTTTAGAACAAAATGTTAAATAGAAATGTTATAGGAAAGGTTAAAAAGCACACGTGAAAATTACTGTAGAGTATACAGGGGACTTCAAAAAATGTTACGGATATAGGTATGTTTTAATGGGAATACCCTATTTTTTATTTTATTATTAGATTCTACGTATAATTCAGTAAATTTTTTTGCATATCATATTACCTATATATCTAAAATAATAGATTTTGTAATAATTCAATTTGTTTAAAGAAATGTTAGATTTCGGTTCTATTAAAAAAATGATAATACATACGAAAAAATATATAATAATATCAATTTAAAAAATTTGAGATTAGTTAATTTTAAATAGTCGAAATTCATAAATATATGTTGAACACACTGTAGCATGTAACTCAAATATTTTTACCTATATCTTTTTCTTCGTCCCTATAAAACTATCCTTTAACAAATTTTGGAACTCCAATTTCAGAAACAATAGCATGACTGACAATTTTTTACTACACTGAAATCTAACATTTTTTGTTTAATCAAATTAAATTAGTTTTAAAGGTATACCATTTTAGGTACATATATAACATTCTACCTGGCATTATACATAAAAATGTTATAAAATTTTATGCAGAATCTAAAAATAAAATAAAAAGTAGGGTATTACATTTAAAAAACCATGTTATATCCGTAACACTATTTTGAACCACCCTGTATACTCTATAATAATTTCAAAATGTGTACCTTAACTTTCTCTACAGTTTTTCTATTTTTTTTAAATTCCTAAACACTTTTTAATAATTCTCTTTTATATTCTTCCCAAGGTTTTATTCATCGATTGTGAAATATCTACCTACTCATTATCGTTTTTTTTTAAATATTTTTTATCTTTTGGATTCTTGATATTGGTTTTGCTTTATATAAATTGATGAATTTCAGCTGATCTTTTTCCGTCCAAGTCTCCATTTCAATATGCACTATAATATCAGAGCTAATATCTCGCAGTCGAGCGAGCCTACCAAAAACACGTCCAGACTTGGCTGCGAGCTTTCTTTGATCGGCCGTCGAAAAACCGACAGGGGACGGATAGCAACAAGGCTCCGTGGGTTGTCTCGCGAGACGGTTGCGAGGCTCTTGCGAGACTCCTCCATCCTTTGAAAAACACCGCAAATTTGGAATGTCTCGCGCTCGTCTCGCGCTCGTCTCGCACTCGACTCCTCAGGTCTGGACGCACCATAAGAGATTTTAATAAACTCATATTGTCACAATATTGAGATAGAAGATACACTTTTCCAATAAATGTAACAACAATTTTTATATACACATTTTTTACTTGTTTATTTTTGCTTACTCTATATATTTTATTTTAATGATTTTAATGTTCCTTTTGTTTATCAATAGTAGTGTAGGTAATTTGGTTTTTATATTGTTATATATTTATTTTAACTAAAATTATTTCATGAAAGTAAATATGTACTAATCCTGAGCAAATTTGATATTCTAGATGTATGTCAACGAAATATCATTCTATAATTTGTAATAGATTTATTTTTATGAAAAATAAAAATTAATAATATATTTTAATCAAACTGTCTTTTATTTAATTAAAATAATATATATTTCAACATAACATTTATTTAGGAGATAAGTATATATAAAAATCATGCATTAAACTACTAAGAATATTATTTAAATAAGTATTTTCTATGTAGAAAGTGCCTCAAGAAAAAATCT